ATTTTATAAGATTTTATCAGAAATTATAGCAATTAAAAATTATTGAAAATCTTAGAATATCTCAGATATTTCAATAAAGAATTTTGGAAAAGATACATAATTGTTGTAAATATTTCTAAAAAGTGTTCTAATTTGTATTAAAAAAAACCCAAAAATTTTTTTAAAAATTATAAAATTATTTGGAAATCCTGAAAGATTCTATAAAATTCTGAAATTTACATAAAATTTACACTAAAATTCTGAAAAATTGTATAAAAAAGAGAACAATTTTCACCAGGACAGACCAAACAGACGTCATTCTGTTACTTGGAACTATAAACACTGATTCCCTTTCGAGCTCATTTTTGTGAAAAATTTAGAACATGTAGTATACATATAGAAATACATAAATATATTTCATTTATTAAAAATGGGAGTTTTCGACATATTTTAATAATCGATATCATATATAAATAGCAGTACGTGTAAGAAAATCGATTTGTTTCAACATACAATGCAAACAAATTTTATAAATTTATTTATATATTTTGTCTTTTACGTCGCGTAATCCAACGTGGCTACAGCGACGAATTAGAAATCGCAATTTGTGGTGAATCAAAGCGGAATATATGGACAGTTTTCAGGAAATGTGTGTAGAAAGTGTAAAAATTGGCAATGCCAAAAAATAAAATACTAAAGAAATTTGCTCGAGTAATAAAAACGGTAAATACCTCGCACTTTTGTCTTCCGTATTTTTTAAAGCTTCGTCTAGGTTTGTAAAGTTGCAATCGCACCTTTTTCTCCGTATGAAGAATGTTATTGGCTCCTACAGGCTTAAGAAATGCCCAGGCGATTTTGTTCCAACATCCTTCGCTACCTGAATTGTCGAACGTGAATAATTAGATTTTTAGCAAGCAAAAACTCAATGCAATTCTCAACAAAATTATACAATATATTAATAATATTTACAATCAAATAATTTGTTTAACTTATTTCTAGCTCTCGATTTTCAATATCAACAAATTTCTGTTCTTGAGAGTTTATTTAATTGTTGATTATTTAATTATTATCGTACTTTCAAAATCGTGTAATCTGTTAATTTTACTCGATATAAATAAAATAATTAATTTACAGAAGAAACGAAAAAATAAACTATTTCATGTAAAATTGCATATTAAAAAGAGACAATTAAATAATTAATCCTCATGCATTCTCATCAGGGTTGAGTAGTGCTAAGTTAAAAAGATAAAAGTTAAGTTAAAAAGTTAAAAAGTTAATTAATTTTAACTTAACTTAGCTACATTTTAGACTTTTAACTTTTCAACTTAATTTAGTTACATTTTATCAGTAACTATTAACTTTTAATTTGAAGTCAATTCTCAGACACAATGCGAAAGTATAATGAGTACATAATTTAGTAATTTTATATTGTATAATCGTTACTTGTGAACAAAAATAACCAGATTCTTTAATAAATATGAAGTGAGAAAGGAAAAATACGAAAAATTATGTAAAATGGTCAAACTTTTTCTTTTTCATTTTTTTTTTGGTTGTTCGTTCGGACCAAATTTAACTTTTAACTTTTCAATTATTTTTTGTATTAATTTAACTTTTAATTCAATTAATTTCATTATGGATTAACTTGTATTTTAATTAAGTTAAATCTTCTATTAACTTTAACTTAACTTAGTTAAAAAAAAAGTTAACTTACCCAACTCTGATTCTCATTATTTTCTCTGATTCTCATTTTCTAACAAACGAGCTAGATAATATATCTATAAGATTTCAGCAGAAATTTACCAATTTTGTCATAACTGATGCTCGCGTCGGCGAAGCTCAGGAGCTCTATAATTTCGAAGAGAATCACCACTTGTTCGCCATCCTCGCGTTTCATGATCGCGTCGAAGTTGTGTTCAAAGATGAGCTCCTCTTCCCAGACTGGTATCATTGACTTGTTCTTCTTGAAGTCAAATTTGCCGGTGATCATCGGCTGAAGATACGTACCGTCGCTCTCCGTGCTTTTCAGATACGAACCCGTGCGAGTCTCCACGATATGAACTCTGACCATCGGTCTTCTCACGCTCACGTAATCAGCCTCCAGCACGTCCGCCCGGTGAATCGTCACGGAGATAAATTTCACCTCTTCCTTCTCTTTCGTCTCCTGTTTACGTTTCTTTCTCCTCTTTCTTCTCACCCTTGTATCTGTCTCTGTCATCGAATTAGCGTCTCTCGCGGATGAGCTGACGAGCGCGTCTTCACCGGAAGGCTCCTTCTTCTTGAGCAACGATCGCTCTCTCCTCCTGGATTGATCGCGCGTCGTTTCCGGCTTGGACCTCCGGCTGCTCGAGACTCGTTCCTCGGAGGCGATCGAGCTCGATCGAACGTCAGTGATCCTCTCCAGACTCGTCGACGAATCGAGTTCTCCAACGCTATTCCTTCGACTTTCCGAAAATCTCGCTTTCGAAGAACGATCGTCGCTTTCCACCGCGAGACGCTCGCTCATCACCGATTCCTGTCGATGCCTCCTCGAAGAGCCGCTGGATGTAATCCCAGTGTCGTCCACGTCCTCGACGTTCGAACGATCGCTCATTCTTCTCATTTCGATCTTGGTGCTCTCTCGATTATGATCAGTCTCGATCCGGAGCACCTCGTCCTCGTTATCGGACACGAACGCCGGATTGTCGAAGAGGATGGCGTCACTCCGCCGCAAGTTGTTCCGCGGTGCCGGTACCGGCGTTTTACGCGAGTCTTCGATCAACGGGGATGCGTCGTCGCTCGTCTCGGGTAGCCGGATCACACCGGCGTCCTTGGACCAGCGTTTCCGCGGTGGTCTTTTCGGGTCTACTTCCGTTTCGTTCGCCACGGTGTTCCATTGCTTCCTGCGCCGCGGTTTCTCCTCGAGAGACTCGTTTCTCTTTCTCGGAGCCTCGAATTCCTCTATCAGATCCAACGACTCCATCATCAAATTATCATGTTTGGAAAGATCCTTCGAGGAACTCCTGCGATCAGAGGAGCGATTCCGAGATCTTTCGCTCGCTCGCGAAGAAACTTTGGAACTTTGAGAAGATCGTTCGGAGGATCGTTTAGTCTCCTTATCGATCGCGATATCATTTTCATTGTTTTGTTGTTGTCGTTGGCTTGAACTTTCACCCGCATGGTGAACGTCCACGGTGACGTTCATCGTCGTCTTCGGCGATATCGCGTTCTCCGTCGACTCATCGACGAAAGAGGAAATGTTGCGCGATCTCCTTAATTTCCTACCTCTCGTGGACTCGGCGGACTTGGCCATCTCTGCGACTACGAGTTTCTTGAGGCTGCAACCGACGCTCACTGCTAATAAAAACAAGGTCGTCTACGAGAGAACATCGCGTGTGCTCCACTTGTGCGAGCCGATCGATCACTCATGAAACTTGCGAATACACTCAACTGTGATATCATCGCAGCCCTGAAGAAAATAATTCTGTCCTCGTTGTAATCTCCATTAATATTCACGTACATATGTAAACTTAATTTACTCGCGACGTATAAATTCTACCTAACTACGTTCGCCATGTGAGGAGAACCGTGTTACTAACTGACGGCACACCAGGTGTGGGAGTGATTACGTTCAGCAGTAGCATGGATCGATCGATACGGGAACAACGGCGGCGACCACGAACTCAGAATTCAAGCCCTTCATGCGTTTCCTCAATTTTTGTGTAAATTAATCCTGCGTTTCAATCTACAAAATACTGTACTTGTACGATAAAATGGGAGATGAGATAAAAAAATAATAATTTTTTCCACGATTGAGCTCCTTAATACGTTTCTCGTTTTACTTTCATTTAGTTTCTCCTTGTAATATAGGCTTCATAATCGAGTTTATTAGCATCTTATTCCACTAAAGTTCTATGATTTATAATTGCAAGCTGAGTTACTGATTTTTATTTCTTATCTTTCTGATCCAAAACTCGCCTTTCAATCCTTGATCTAAATTAACTTTGTGCAATCACAGGCTGAAAAAACTGCACTATCTTATATATTCAAATTTGTTTCTTTAAGCTATACATCAGTGATGCACAATCTTCAGCCCTGTGAAGTATTTGCGAATTGCTGGTTCGTAGCCGGAAATATAAAATCTGCACATTTTTCTATTTTATAGCAGTCCGAAAGATGTAACCTGTTTCTGAAAATGACCATGTAAAAATGGTCTTTAAAAAGTTGCGTGTCACTAGCGTACATAATAGCTCTGCAAACTGTCTCTATATTTTATCTACTTTCTCCACTAAAAATAAAATAGGTATATTTGCAACCTCGGGACTGCTATAAGCAGTCGGGAAGATAAATCGCAACAAAGAAAACGATAAATCCAAATTAAAAGTGATGTATGTGACAGCTAACAATTTCTTTAATGGTACTTTTGATTCAGACATGTACTAAAAAAAAAAGAAAGAGGAGAAAATAAATAATGGACTTTTTTTAAGCACAATATAACATGGCAACTTGCGGAATAGTTTGGAAACAATTGTCTGTCATTGACGCGACTTCTGACTCTAACAAATTAAATCTCCGTTTTTCAATGTCACTCGCTAAATTATATAATAGTTATATTTTCTAAACTATTTATGCCATTTATGGTATTATTTTGGCTCTTTTACAAATTAAATTAATTATTCCCCATATCACAATAACTACAATATAAATAATAAAAAAGGAAAAAAGAGAAAATAAGGATAAAGGAGAAAATAAAATGTAATTTAAAAAAATTTATTGAATAATTATTTCTCACGGATTACATTATCTCGTATCGTCTTATTACAGTAAACAGTAAATTATAATATGATAAGAGAAAAAAGAGAAAGAAAAAAGAAAAAAAGAAAAAATACAATTAAAAGATTTATTAAATAATTATTTGGCAATAAGATCTGATTGATTAATCGATTTATTTAAGCGCTTCGCAATTCTTTTTTTTTTCAATAAACATCTATCTTGAAGTGATTGAATTAGTATAATTAGATTTGGAGGTACGGTAGTGTCTCAGCGCTAAGATAAGCGAAGCGTTATGGCGTATATAGGGTGTGTTCCAAAATTGATTATCATTACTGAAAACCAGGGAATGGAAATCTATAGTGTACGTAACGTAAACTGTATTTTCAATAACTGTAGCGTTGGCAGTAAATTTACAGCCGTAGATGATTTCGAATTTCGTTGTGGCTCCTCGATGGTACTTTTCAGTTTGTCATAGCGTAATAAGTTTGAAGCACGTTAACAGCATCTATGAGTTTCAGATGGAACAACCCCGAGTCACTTAGCATAGCAATCAATGCTCCAATAGAATTGAGATCTAGTAGGATATCCGTGAGCTTGTCAGGCATAAAATTCGGGTGAATGTTATAAACCAGCGGGTATAAATACTGCCCCAATATCCGCCTTTGTGTTCGTCGTGGCAATTGGAACAATATTGATAAATCATACTGCATATTTTGCAAATTCTGCGCAGCATTCATCATATATATATCTTTTTCTATTTACCTAACAAAAAAAAAACAAATTATTCTCTTGAAAAGTACAATAACGATCAATATGTAATACAAAATAGACATAACAATTTTAACAATTAAAATTGATAAAGGCTCCAAAGATTAAATCAATAAAGGAAAAACAATGCCAATGAGAGCCGACACAGTTGTAATCTAAATATAATATATATGTCAATATCACCAATTACAGACGTTTCGTCCATAAGATTAAGTCCTCCTCAGTGTATAATAGTAACAATATCGGAATCCAGTTAATACATTGTAAAAAGCTAGATGGATACAATCATTGAATCATCGTTAGGCTGTTGTCCAAAATTAAAAACTTCATTGTCGTCTGTTGTACTTAGCTGGATACCCAAACCAAAATTTCGTATTTAATTAAAATCGAATTAATATATGAAATTTTTTAAATGCTTTGCATAATCGACGAGTTTAAATTAATTAAATCAGTTAAATAAAACTTACTCAAATAACGATGGTCCGTTATAACGCGATGTGATTATAACTATATCTTGAAAGCGTGTGAGAGGACGCGTTTCGTATTCGCAATGTTTATAAGTACAAATGTTAAATAGAATAAATACCAATATAAAAACCGACAATACAAATTTAACTTGTAAAAGAAGGAAACGTCATTTTCTTTTAATTAAATCGTGATATAACGGATCCAACAATTCCGTGTCATTTAATGAGAGAGAAAAGAAAATTGCGTATTTTAAAATATAATTCAGTAAAAAATGATAAACTCTCGAATTGCTCCGCATATTATTTAGTCAGAAATTCTTAAAAATCAAGAGATCTTGAATTTTTTAAAACTATTACAATATTACAATTATACAATCGTAATCGCTTTCAACCAAAATTATATTACTGCAATTAAATTATTATACAATTAAATGAAACGACAAAATAGAAAAATATACGTTTTTTATTCTTTTTTTTACAATTTTTTTACTCCATTACTAGATTCCGACTTGTCGTTGAAATAGAACATGATTCGGCTCACACACTTACCTGTTGTGTAATTGCAAAGGAACGCAGAATTAGAAACAGAACAAGAAATGTTCTTGCTAAGCGTAAGACAAGCTGACTGACTTCAATTTGAACGTCAAGTATTAGGAAGAATAGGCAGAAAAAATGCAAACAGAGATGTTTCATGAAACAATCCCGAAGCACCTCCTACATTTTTATTTCTGCCAATGCCTGAAAACAGAAAGTAGAGGGGAGTCAAAATGGTGGGAAAAAAGGCAAAGGGAGAAAGCAAGAAAAATCTGAGAAAAAGTTGAAGAAAAAAACAAAAGATGGAAAGGACAGGAAGAGTGACTTGTCTATATTATGTAGAATGCGTAAAAATCAGAGAGAGGAGACACCGTAGTATCTCGGCGCTAAGACAAGCGCAGCGATACTATATAGCAACAACTCTATCTATAATCTGGATCATTTTTTGGCGAAATTTCACTCTCAAATTTCACTCGCATTATTGCTCAATTTCAATTTTTATTAAATAAAGATTTTAACGTTTGAAAACTATTTGGCAATGTAATAGAGATGCTGAAAAGTAGCTCTGAATTTTTTCTGAAAGTTCTTTTGTACAGAACAGTACAAAAACTTGGGCCAAAAAAAAGGACGGAAAGAGTAAAAGCATGCTTGCAAACGAAGGGTTAATATTAAAAATACAAAAATATTATTTTAATATATATTTGGTTCTTCGATTGTTTTAACAAAATATTTTTTCTCAGAAAGAATATTTATTTCTTATAATGTATACTGTGATAATCCAACTGAAGTAGACAAAAACATCTTATGTTAATTATTCATAATTAAATTACATACATTAACTTACACATAATTAGTTTAACTCATAATCGCACCGTTCTGCATCACATTATTATTCAATTCAACGGTATTTGTTTCCGCTTGTCGTGTTAATTCCTGTAGTACAATAATAATCGGTATTTAAAAATATATCTTGGAGTTGATTAGTTTATCGTGACAGAAAATCCCCTTACCGCATTAATTATATTTTCGTATTCCTGTTCGCATTGCACTATCAGTGCGTTCTTCAAACCGGCAGAAGATTCCTTAGACTCTTCCCGTTCATCTGGTTTCAAGGAAACATCGGTAAAGTCTGACTCACCATGCATCTTCAAAGTCCTCATTTTCAATCGTTGTTCTCTGTTTTTTGCTTCTATTACTTTCTCACGACGCGTTTCACGATCGAAAAGCTGAAGAAACGAATATAACTCGACATAGTATTACCATAGTATTATTGGAATTATAAAGTCAGAAACAATAATTTGCAAAACGTACAAATATTTTCCTTGCGCTATACATTGAAATAAATTAAAAATAAATTACTCATTTCGCTCATTGTATCGCAGCTTATGTGTTATTTAAAAATCTTTTTTACAAATATATTAAAAATTCAAATATAAATAATTAAAATATGATAAAAAATAATTAATTATATAATAATATTAATAATATTAATAATAATTATGATTATTAATTAGATATATCATTAGAAGTTGATGTAGCAAGATATTCTTTTATTCTTTTTTATAGTTCTTATATGAGAGAGATAATAGGCAAATACACATTCTTTATCAATCTAATATTTACCGCAGTTAATAGCAGTTTATCATTCTTTTGATTAACCGTTAAAGCCTCCGAAAATTCGAGCAGATAAGTCGAGCCCTTTTTATTCGCCACTGCAGCCAGTTGACCCTGCTCATGCGGTCGTAAACAGGTCAAACTTTCGTCGCAGACCTTCGAACCGATTATATTGTTAAAATTTATTCATGTGGTAATCAGTAATTAGATACCTTTATGCTGAGAACTGGGCTATCCTCCTGAATTAAAAAATCCCACACATCTAAAGTCCCATCAACTTTGATCAGATAATACACAGAATAACGTGTAGCACTCCATGCACCACCCGTTATAAAGTCTCGATGGCCGCTAAAAAACATCGAATAGCAAGGTCGTAAAGTTTTCTAAATGGTTCCATTATCCATTTAAACTTACGGAGTCCATGCTATGCAGGATTCTCTACAATCTTCCGACCAAATTCTCGAGGTCCAATCACCGACCGTCAAAAAGTTTTTTACGAACGTTGGGTTTCTTTCTAGACTTATAACCGGTCCATATTGGGCTCTAAATCTAGTTGCAATTTTTTCACCGGGTGTTTTACCTTTGCGATTTCCCGATATTACAATACCTAAAGAACGAAATTATTCTCATTGTGTTACATAAATTATTTCTTTTTCATAAAATATATAATTAAATTTGTTATCGAATTCGTTTCGTTAATTTATTTCTTGCATTTAAAATTCTTTTTTTATTACTTTAGAATTTTATGTTGAATTATTTAAGTTGTATTTAAACGTGTAATTTGCTCAACAATATTTATTATACCGTTTTCCAAGCCACACATGAAACGTGTTCCCATCGAAGGTTCGAATTGAAGAGCCGAGATACCGGTAGCTTTGTCCACGTTTTGATTTTCCGGCTTCGATAAATCTATCACTAAAGTTTCTGTTGGAATTTGCAACTTTCTGGTATCCCACCACTTTATCTACAAACAAACAAGTATCCCGACATGCGGATTCATTATCGATACGTTAATCGCAGTTTCGAACAAGATTATACCTGTCCATCTTTCGAGGCGCTAAAAAACTCGGTACCAGTCTTGGAATTAATCCATAGGGTTTTGTCACAGGGATCTCTATGGCTAAACTCAACCGAACTAATGTCTATCATTTCTGAACCTCTTCTAAGGTCCCAATAACCCACCTGTCCAGTTATCAGACCACCTATCAAGGTGTTGCTATCCTTCGGGCTGTATTCCAACGTTAGAATCGGACAAAAAGGTTTCAGCGTAATGTAAGGATTATTTGGATTCTCTATAGAGTAATTTTTCGTAAATATATCAATCAACAATCAATCAGCTTCAATCTTGGTTATACCGTTTACTCAACGCACCTACTTCCCAGATGTACGACGTGTAATTGTTGCTAAAAGTTTTTTTGAAATCAACGTTGCAATAACTAGCCGCAAAGCGATTACCTTGATCTGGCGACCACGACAGATGAGTGATCTGCCGTTTCATCGTTAAAGGATCACGGTAAACGTTCACCGTGCGCGAGAAAGCTCTTTGTATCAGTGGGGTTGCCTCCACATCGTCGAAGTATTCTTCGTAAATGTTGCAAGCGTTGTTTTGCAAAATACAGTGCTCCATCGACTTGAAAAGAATATTTCTTATAAATAATTCTGAATGTATATAAGATAACTCCAATAGCTTTAAAAGAACGTCAAAAGAGATGTTTACAGGTAGCAGCTGAAGCATTGTATGAATATACAATTCATCTTTCTCGATCTTACGTCTGTATCTGACTGTCTGTTCTAGATCCTTCATATTTATGTCCTTCGGCCAGCCACCCTCATAATGAAACATTTTATTATCCCTATACGTTGCAGTAGTTGTATTTACCTTAACATATACACTATATAAAAATTGTGCTGTACATTTTCTCACAAATGTCGTTCATTCAAATATTTTTACCTCGTGAACCGCAAAGACTTTACTGCATTGCGTAGCGTGTGTCACGGGATCCATTCTAACATAATTATTCATCAACACTGGATTCGATTTAATTTCCACATCTGTTTTGTCGAAGTCGGAAAAATTGCATCTCTTCCCGAAATGCATTCTCTTCTTCGTATAAGCATATTCCGAATCCATTGTGTACAAAAACTTAAACTATATATATGTAGGGAACAATTTTAGTGTTGGATATCAAAATTTTATTTTCCACACTTATTAAGAAATACTTAATGGCACAAAACGTTTTGATTGTTATTAGCACAACAATGTCATAAAAGTCATAACAAAAAATACATTTCTGTATAGTTCCAGTATATAATTTCATGAAAAGTGGATAGTCAATTAGGCAGTATACACACAGTGTGGTTACTATAGTAACAGAGAATATATCATGGTGTGAGACTTAGCTATCGGTCTTCACTAAAACCGGCACTTCGGGATTTAAACCTTGGTAGAGAATGAACATTGTTTTGTATGCTTGTGCGTACTCCGCACTTGCAGGCTCAATGTTAGATTTAACGGTGGGTATCACGTCGCGTAAAATAATTTCGATTAATATATTCAGATACTTGGTGCGCTGCAACTTTTGTATTGCTTCATATAGCGACAATAACTGCTTCTTGTTACAGTATCTTATATTATATGCTTTAGAAAAATCTACAACAAAATTTAGAAATTGAAATCAGCGTGATTAGATTAATTAAATTAAAATTTAAAGCTGTGATTAATATACAAAATGTGAATTTACTTTTAAAATGCTCCATACAGAAAATATTCCAAATGCCGTTCGACATCCATCCTCTTGTCAAAGAAAGATTATACGAGTCTTTTGTAATCGGTTTTGCAATATTCTTAATATCATACTGCTTAAAAGAGGCTCCTATTTCAGTGGAAGCGATTTTCATGTCATTGGACTGGCTCGAATCTAAATCTTCAGTAAGAATATTACTAAATACAGTTATAGATTTTGCTGCCTTATTAAGCAAGTGAGGCTCTTCTAACAAATGATCTTGCATGGTTATATTCTGCAATAATTATAAATAATATAAGGAATCGGTTTTGTATAATTTTAAGAACGGTCTTTCTCCTTCCATTTACATCACTTACCATCGCTTCGAATTCTTTTAGAAAAGTGTTAACTGATTTCTGGAATCTATCCTCATTAATATCATTCGAGTCATCTGCTTCAGTTTTTAAAAACGCATGATAAGTTCTCAATACTTTAACAATTTCATTCGGCACATTAAAATGCCGGAGCGCTTCCACTACATCTATCGCTACAATTTGTTCTTGAACGGATTGATGTCCATTATTTCCATGCAATGGACAATCGTTCTTAATATTCCCGGGAGAAGAAATTGATGTATTCTCGGTAGACTGTCGTGTCATTTTATGTATCAAATCGCTTAGTTCAGCAGCTGATGCTTCAGGTGGTAGAGATTTTCTTGACTGAAATAAAAATGCGCGATAAAAAATTACATTAAAAATTTTTCAATATTCTATTATATCTGATAATATTGTACAAGAGAGAGAGAGAGAGAGAGAGAGAGAGAAACTGTGTCATTGTTGCATACATTTTGCGGAATATCATTAGGATCATCATTAATTTGTAGTTTATTTGCTGAACTTATCTTCTTAATGTTTAATTTATTTTCTAGTATAAAATTCTTCCCTTTCTGTAACTTTCCTGCAACTTTTGCAGATGACACCTTTGATTGTATCGTTTCGATTGCGTTATTTCGCTTTGTACCGCTGATAGATTTTTTCGTCGCAACAGAAGTTACTTTGTCGTTTTGAAATGCACTTGATTTTTTACAACGCGGGCTTTTCGCAGTATTTGTTTTCTGCGTTGTAATATTGCTTTTCAAGGCTTTCTTACGATCGCTAGTCGATGCAGGATTGGATAGATAAATATTTTCAACTGTATCTTTTCTTAACGGTTTCTTTTTCGATGCTACGTTAAGCTTCAATTTTTCCCGCAATTCTTGCGCAAGAATGATCGCTCTGTCTATCCCCGCGGCGATCTCCTCAGCTTCGTTTTCATTCTATTAATTAATAATAAATAAAACAAATTCATGTCAACTTATACATATAGGCAACATAAATTAAAAGTAAAAATATATAAATTAAATCACGATTACTTTTTTACAAATACAAATGCTTTCGTTGGTTCGTTTTTCAACGATTGTTTTCACCTGCCACGGTTTTAAAACGAATGCTGCTTCGTCACAATCTTTTCTCAATATTTCCTTCACTTCCTCTGTGATTAACAAAGTGTTATGCAACAGTTCGTATAAATCTGATAAATTCAACGTACAGTCCATTACTTCCGAATGTCTGCGATCCTAGTAAAAGAAATACAAACAAAATGTTATCATAGAAAAATAGTGAAAAATGAATAAGGCGAAAAGAAATATTCGTGCCACTCAAAGCGTTAATCACATTAATAAATAATATAATCATTGCCTAAGACAATAAGATAACCATAAATACCTGTTTACGTAAAATGTAATGGTTGTGTAACCATCCATCATTTTGTTCACTTATGTAAACACATTAAAATTGACTACTGGATACAAGTTGAACACGCGAACTTGATAAGTCATACGTATAGAAAAAATGTTAAAAATTATATTTATATATACAATGTATTGTATACAGCATACATTTATATATATATATATATAGAAATGGTAATAAAAAATAGACGTAAAACCAGAATAGAATATATATAATCTTCATATATTAAGAATAATAAGCATATATATATTTATATATATGTATGTATGTATATATATATATACACATATATATATGCAATTTACTTTTTTCTTTTTTTTCACAATATGTGCCTCATCGCTAATTTCCTAGAGTTTCAGTCAATTGAAACTAGGAGAACATTGAAACGGCTGCCTACCCTAACTAATATATCTAAAACCATCACTCGTCATGATAGTTTTAAATGCTATAAATTGGAAATGTGTTTATAAACCGCTAGCTCTCATAGAGCACTCGAAGATTCGCTTCTGCTTGCGCGCCGCAACGAGTCATTTAGACATCTGTCAATAAAATAAGTCTTTATAAAAATAAAGAGAGTGACTTCAAGATGTTTTTAGATTAATAATTTATCTTCCCGTTCCACGTTCCACACTATGGAATAAAAACGCGAAACTATGATAACGTCACAGTTTTCAGAGAGCAGAAAGTCACGTCAAGTCAACATGCGTAACACAAATGGCGTAACCATATAGAAATACGAATATTTATGTTATTATTGCGCACATTAAACACTTCAAATATATTGTAAACTCTTATAAATCTTTTGTTTGCATAATTTGCATTTCGCTATCAAGATAAAGTAATTCTACATATCACGGAAGTACGCCATTTGAGCTGATATTAGTTGTGACAATAACCCTGTGAAAAACCGCGAACCAAATTCTTAATTACAAATTGTACACTGCGATTTATCTAAACTTAATTCCTAAAGTAACAAATGTATGAGGATGAACCATCAATATTTTTTTATCTTTATAAGAAATGAAATATTTCTGTAAAGCGAAAAATTGTAGAGTTCATTGACTGGATGCAGGAAATACAACAGACGAGTCAATGTTGATTTTACTTCTTATAATAATGATTATGTGCGTTTACAACTCGTCCTTCCTTGGCACATCATCGTCCTCATCCTCTTCCTGAGCCTGTGTCAAAATAAATAATGTAGAATAGTTGTAATATAAGATTATGCCTCATAAAATTTTCAAAGATATTTTCAGCATAATTTATGTATTATCTTCTACCCTAAGATTGTTATACTATTTCTTTTTTTCAATTAAAAATAACTCTTTAATACCTCTTCTGCAGCTTCGCCATACGCGCCACCGCTTTCGATAAATTTGGAAAGACCTTCAAGCGTCCTCTCTCCGTTATATTCCACAGCCTACAGCAACGAAATAAGTTATTATAATAAATACATTTTCAACGTACTGTAAATATAAGTTGAGGGAATGAAGAAAGGTTCGTACCTCATTCGTCTCTTTCTTATAGAGTGTCAGAGTGGGGAAGTTTAGGACCTTTATGTCCTCCAACTCGTTAGCAGTGGCATCCATTTTTGCGATGACCAATTTATCGTTGTCCTTGTATTTTTCACCAAGCTGAAATTACATGTTCGACGATTAACAAAACTACTTATCAATTACCTGTATTATTTGTATTTATTACAATTAAAATTCCAACGAAAAGGAAACGTACTTGGTCATAAATGGGCGCTAATTGCTGACAATGACCGCACCAAGGAGCGTAGAATTCAACAAAAACATCCTTTTCCTTGTCAAAGGCAATCTCGTGGAAGTTCGTGCCGACGAGAACCTTAACCGGGCTCTTGTCCCAGTCCTCCGGCAAGTCTTGGGTAAGCAGGTGTCGTTTCAGTTTGCCCTCTACGAAAGCAGTGACAAATTCCAGGACGTTTTCGGTGGTGATCTCTGGTTTATCAGGCTTGTACTTAGCCATGTCCTGTTCAAGCTTGATAAGCCGCATGGCGGGCACATCATCTTTTTTCAAACCAAAGAACTCCAAGATACGTTCGTGATCAGTTTCGTCACAATTGATTGTCACAAACAAAACCTATGCATAGATATTTTGAAGCATTATATCGATTCCTTTTTAAAATAATATAGTGAGATGAGTTATGCATAAATTTTTATACCTCGCTACGGTATTTCTTCGCTGGCTCTTGAATTCCTTCGATATATTTTTCAAAGTGACCGGCTTCTTTACTGAGGAAAAGCAACAAGTGGCTCTTGATATCTCCACTGAAGATCTTCTGCGCCGTATCCTGGTTGAATTCAACAATCAGAGGTAACGAAAATACGGAGATGAAGTTCTGTATAGCTGTAGTCGTATACTCTCCATCAAAGACAGCTTTACCTTCATCGAACTACAAAGAATACAGATTAAAATCAGATTTGAGATTATGATTTCAAAAAATAGAAATTAATTTGATTCGTCATTATTTTAATATTAGTATTATACAGTGCACTAGTATAGATGTACCTTCTTAAATAGCACGATCTTTCCATCTTCAATTCCGTATTCACTAAATACTTCGTCGGCGCTTGTAATACCAAACACATGATCATCCACTATATTACCAACTTCCAAGAATACCT